GGCAGCAAGATGTCTGTGAGTTAGAGCCCACCCCCCTCTCCACAGTGAGTGCCATGATAGGCTCCAAAGCTGCACAGAGAAACCCTGTCTCAAAACAGGAAAAAAAAAAAAAAACTGTTCCCTGGAAGTTTAAGATGACATAAACCTTTTCCTCCCCAAGTTGCTTTTGGTTATGGTGTTTATCACAGCAACAAAAAGTACACTAGGACAACTGGAACTTCTAACATTTGTTTTTTAAAAAAAATCTCAAGGGTCACATTTTTATATATAAATCATATATCATATATATCATATGCATACATACATACATATATATCAAGTAGACTGACAGACATTAGGTTTCCTATTTAGGTCTAGTGTGACCCCTACCTAGCTGGACAAAATTCTTGCTCATAAAAAGCAGTCCACACTCTCCAGGACCCAGCCCACGGTCTGGCTTTAAGTTCTCCTATTTGCAAAGTTCTCTGAAGCCACAGAGCCTTTGTAAATGCCCAACTCCTCTCCACTTCCATGTACTAGTCTAGTCTGGGGCAAGCGTACCTCTCAGAGACCTTTCATGAGTACCCCAATCAGACCCAATTGCTTCCAAAGGATCTCAGAGCCCTGTTTTTTTCCTTTGGTGTTGCTTACAGCCCCAGCTATTTATCATGTACTGAACAAATATCACAGACGTCTCTGCTCACCAGGCTGGAAAGTGGTCATACTTATCCTTCCACTGAATTCCCAGTGCCCAGCAAATGTGGTTCCTGATACTGAAGATGCATGCAAATGTTTTCTAAGTAAAATAAAATTACATATACCTTAGTACAATAGTTTTAATGTCACCTGTTAATGCCGTTACTGTTTCCTTAAAATAATTCACAGTGATATCTTGAATAGAGACCACTGCTTCTTCAGTCTGTCTGGTCCATTCACTGGCTTCCTTCTGTAGGGCAAGCACCCTTTTAGGACCCAGGTCATTCTCATTCAGGGACTTCTACAAAAAAAATTGATGTAGTGCCATTAGGAAATCTTGAAGCAGCTGTGTAGATTGTTGTAACCACTCATTTTACTCCTGCTTAGTCAGCTCCTGATGAGTATCAGTGAGCTGGGTGCTGGCATCCCTGGAAGACTGTCAGTGCCCATAAGATGGCTGCACTCCATCTTGGCTCAAGGGCAGAGAGTTCAAAACTGTCCTCAGTAAGTCATAAGACCTAAGGGTCAAAGGCGTAGTTATAGTAGGATATTTGATCTTGGCCTTAGGAGTTTATTCTAAATAACAATAGACCTGGTCTAAGGTGTGGTTACTCCTGACTCTCAAGGCCAGGTAACAAGAAATTGAATCTAAGGTGTAGTTACTAAATCCTAGGAGAAAGGAGGAAAAAAAGTCTGTTTGTTCCATATGCATGATACCATGTTCCCCTTTTTTGGTTAAGGTATGAAAATGTAAGAGTGCAGAATAACAAACTCCGGGCATTTCAATATTGATTGATCTGCCCTCCTGATTTGTGTGTCTTCCTCTTTTCCTTTAACTTCTTTAGCTAGCTTTTCTTTAGTCCACATTCCCGCCAGCTCAGCTGGCTGCTGACTTCAGCTCCACAGTTAGCTAGCTTTTCTTTAGTCCACATTCCCGCCAGCTCAGCTGGCTGCTGAGAAGCTCCACAGAAGACAAAAGTGTACTCTGGGGACAGAGGGAAAACACTGACTGACTTAGCATGACTAGAACCTTTTCAGGGTACAGTTGTGCAAATGAGATGTCTGTTGTTCAGCACTCAGGACTCAAGTGCTGCTTTTTCAGTAGTTTCTTTTAGGACCCTTAAATACTTAGCACTTAATTTAATGCAATATGGTCACCTAAAAGGTATTCATATGTATTCAGATCAGTGCCATTTGACCTGAATGTATGTGGGTCTTGAAATTCATATATTGAAGCCCAGTGTGATGGTATTAGGCCATGAGGATACAGCTCTCATGATTAGGATTGATGCCCTTATAAAAAGGAAGAGGCCAAAGGTCTCCCTGCTCTTTAACATGTAAGAACACATCAGGACAGCCAACCACACACTAGCAAACAAGTTCCCATCACCAAGTCTGCCAGCACCTGAGCTGACTTCCCAGCCACCAGAGCTATAAGGACAAAAAAGTTCTGTTGTTCATATGCCGCCTGTTTGCGGTGCACTATGCTAACAGCCTGGACTAAAGGGCAGCTGTGCATCCAGCACCTGGTTTCCTTCTACAAAGCTTGATTCGGTGACGCTGGAGTAGTGAATTAGTGTTACACAAATAAAGCCAAAGCTACAAGAAACTAGGATAAAAAGACAAATACAACAAGTGTTGAAAGAGGCTTGGCGACACAACGTAATCCCAGCACTTGGAAGGCTGAGGCAGAATTGCTACAAGTCAAGGCTAATATGAGCTATATACCAATATTTGATCTCAAAAAGAAACAATAACAAAACATACCAAGTATTGACATTGACACAAATGAGCCCACACTAAAACAGTGCACTTGACTTGGGAAACAGTCTGGTGGCCTTCAAAAGGTTAAACTTTTTTTTAAAAAAAACCACAAGATAGCTGGGTGTTGGTGGCACTTGGGAAGCAGAGGCAGGTGGATCTCTGTGAGTTCGAGGCCAACCTGGTCTATAGAGCAAGTGCCAGGATAGGCTCCAAAGCTACAGAGAAACCTGGTCTCAAAAACAAACAAACAAGCCGGGTGTTAGTGGCGCACGCCACCCTGTCTCAAAAAACAAACAAACAAAAAAAACAAAAAAACAAACAAACAAAAAAACAAAAGCAAGTGCCAGGATAGGCTCCAAAGCTACAGAGAAACCTGGTCTCAAAACAAACAAACAAAAAAACAAAAAAACAAACAAACAAAAAAACAAGACCAATAACAACAAAACCCCACAAGATAAACATTATCACTTGACCAGCAGGTCCACTTCCCAATACATACATGAGAGAAAGTATGTAAATCAAGTGTGGCCTGTGCCTGTAATCCCACACTCAGAGGCTGAGGTAGAAGACAGTTGTAAATTCAAGGCCATCCTAAGCTACCTAGTGGGTGCCAGTTCTGCCTGAGCTACAGCTGAGACCATGACTCAAAAAGAGGGAGTGGGGTCAGGACTGGTACACATACACATATGTTGATGGCAGTATTATTCATGTATCTAGAAAGTGTAAATGATCCAAGTGTCCAACAAGGGTGAATGGGTAAGGAAGATGCAGTATATTCTCATAATGGCAGTTATCTGCCAATAAAAGAAATGAAGTCCTGGTGGCTATGGCACAGCCAATTCTTAAAATATGCTAAGTGAAAAAGTAGCCACAAACCCACAAACATTCTATAGTTCTATTTATGTGACATTTCTGTGGGCTGGGGAGATAGCTCAGAGGGGAAAGTCCTTGCCTTGGCTGACTTCAGATTCTAGAATCCACCTAAAGTAGATTCCAGAATCCATCTAAAGTCAGATACAATAATATGTTCATAATACAAGTGTTATACCAAAATGGGCAGTAGAGACAGGAAGATCTCCAGCAGCTCATGGGTCAGCTAGCCTGCACTCGCACACAAACAAGGACATACACACACATCATACACACAGATTAAAAATAAAATAAAATAAAATTTCCACAACAGCCAAATACAGAGACAAAGTAGATTATAGACTGCATAAGTTGGAGAAAATGAGTATGAGGTTTCTTTTGAGGGTAAAAAAGTATTCAAATATTGTTGGCTGGTAAGGTGGCTCAGTGAGTAAAAACACTTGCTGCCAAGCCTGATGACCTGAGTTCAATCCCTGGAATCCACATGGTAGAAGGATCCTCTGATCTCTACATGTGTTCCACACACACACACACACACACACACACACACACACACACTACCAACAACCCATCTGTGGGTTAGAGCAGCAGGTACAGAACAACTTCCTGCCAAGGTCACAAAAGTACATATGGAAAGATAGCTGCGTGCGTGCAGGAGAGCAAGAATCTGTCTGCTGTCTCCTGACTCTCGATAGTTGAACAAAAGGCAATATTAACAATGCATTTTCTAAATGGGGTCACCCTAATGGAGTCAGAATGACAGCAATTACTAAAGTTTAATTACTGAATTACAATCCAGGGCCCTGCTATTTAAATTGGCATCCCATTTCTAAGAAATCTACAGGTAGAAAACCAGTCCATCAGTAGGGACAGTGTGGGTGTTGCCACATGATAAGATGAGCAGAGTAATGTCATCACTTCCAATCCATATCTCCCTCTTTAGAAGAGAGGGTTTGCCCATGATCAGCATCAGTCTACCATGCAGCCACAGCCTCACGCCCTTTCTTACTCTTTATTTTGAAACTGGGTCTTACTAAGTTTCCTAGGATGACTCTGAATCTCTGAGAAGAGAGGGTTTGCCCATGATCAGCATCAGTCTACCATGCAGCCACAGTCTCACGCCCTTTCTCACTCTTTATTTTGAAACTGGGTCTTACTAAGTTTCCCAGGATGACTCTGAATCTCTTCTACCCAGGCAGACCTTGAGTCTACCTCCCAAATAGCTAGACTTAAAACCTGTACAACCAGGCTGGCTATTGTTGTTTGTGGCTTTATGTCCAGGGCCTTGAACATGCTGGAGGCAGGAGGATCAAGAGCTCAAAGCCAACCTCAGCTACATTGTAAATTTGAGGCCAGCCTGGACTACATGAGACCTTGTCTTTAAATAAATAGATTATATATACATATAACATCATCTAAATATATAGATGAACTCAAAGTAAAAATACTAACTGAACCTCATATGTGACTAAAAGAATAATTACACAGGTAATAAGACAAAAATATCAGGAAACATACCAAAATATCACGCTTACATGAGGTCGAAACTTCTCGCATATCTCTGAATGGCTGCAGTAAATACTGAAAGAACATGGTTGCCACGGTAACTAATTCCTGATATGCTTCATCTTCCTCTTGATAAACTTTCATTAACGCTACCATGGTGCTGGCTTTTCCGTGATCTAGAAGAACCTAAAAGGCACAAATGCAAATAAAGCTTAAATCTGGACATTTATACAACAATGCCATAAATAAATAAATAAATAAATAAATAAATGAAACCAAATAGTCTCAATTTTAAAACATCAATTTTAAATATTAAGTAAACATGAAAATGTTCTCCAACCAAAAAGCCCAATTACATAGACGTGGTTAAATAAGATGGCTTGTCCTTTCACAATCGTTCAACACTATTTTTTAAAGACTATTTAACAATATGAGGACTTAGTATGGTGGCTGAAGCCTATAATCCCAACACTTGAGAGGCCGAAGCAAGACTTTTACTATGAGTTTGAGGCCACACTGGGCTAAAAAAGCTATTTCCAGGTCAGCCTGAACTACAAAGCAAGGCCCAGTCTCAAAGAAACAAACAAGCAAAAATACTATATATATTTCTGTGGACTCATAACGGCAGTATTATTTCCACCCCTCCAACTCCATGTGTAAGTTCCAGGCAGACAAGTGAATTATGCTTATGAACAGAGCAATAGTATGAGCTAGATTAGAACTGTAATAGTGGGAATGAACTTGAATTTGGGGGAAATATAACTTTACAGTATACAGATGTTAGGAGATTAAGGGAAAGGGAGGTAAGAATCTAAGAAATGAAGTGTGAAGAACCAATTTAGAGCTGAGTCTGGTGGGATGGACCTGAATTCAGCTACCTTGGGAATGTAAGGCAGGAAGTGGCACAGGCTTTAATTACAACTACTTTGGGAGGCTGAAACTGGTTCAATCCTGCAGCAGAAAGCTCCTAAAAAGCACAGGACATCAGAAAAGTAGAGTAAGGCCTTTGAGGCTGGACTGTAGGATGACGGGAATGGAGAGTGTGAGACTAAGCCTGCCTGGGCTACAGAGAGTTCAAGGCTGGCCTGGGCAACTTAGTGAGATGATGCCTGAAAGTAAGACTGAGGGGGACAGCTCAGGGGAAGAGCGCTTGCCTAGCATGCACAAGGCCCAATCACTAGCACTGACTAAATAAATAGCCAAGTCCGATATAAAATGACCAGGTTAAGGATCCAAAGCTGGCTGGCCTGAAAAATCTCCTGTCATTTCCTCATATATATTATAAAGTGAAATTAACTCGGGAAGTAGGTGTGTGAGCTGTACAGAATAAAGTGACCCCAACTGCTCTAGGTGTGGTGGCAGAAGACTATAATCCTATAATGCACTTCAGAGGCTGAAGCAGGAGGGTCACCACAGTCTGAGGGCAGCCTGGGATATATAGTGAGTTCCAGGACAGGGGCTCACATAGTAGGCTATCTATGTGAGCCCCTGTCTCAAAACAAAAACCCCCACTAACAGAATCCTTTTATAAAGCCATTTTAACTTTTAAAGACTCATTCTTTTTTTGTTTGTTTGTTTTTGATGTTGTTTGTTTTTCGAGACAGGGTTTCTCTGTGTTGCTTTGGAGCCTATCCTGGCACTCGCTCTGGAGACCAGGCTGGCCTTGAACTCACAGAGATCCACCTGCCTCTGCCTCCAGAGTGCTGGGATTAGATTAAAGTCGTGCACCACCAACGCCCGGCTTAAAAGACTCATCCTATATTTAGCTTAAGATAATATACAGCAATCAAGATTTTGCTATGTGGCTGAATTCTTCTTACACCTCCCCTTCCTTAAAACACAGCAAAGCCACTGCTTAATAATGGCTTCGGTAAAAGAGAGCCTCAATCCAGCAATTGTCTCCATTAGATTGGCCTGTGGGTATGTCTGCAGAGCACTTATTTTTTAATTGCTAGACTGATAGAAGATGACCTAGCCCATTGTGGGTCACTGGACCCCTGGGCCGGTGGTCCTAGGCTGTCTAAGAAAGTAGCTGAGCAAGTCAAGAAAGCAAGCCAGTAACCATCCTTCCTTTGACGATGGGTTGAACCTGTAAGTCAAATAAACCCTTTCTAACCCCAGTTGCTTTTGGCCAAGGTGTTTATCAAAGCAACAGAAAACAAACTTCTAATGAGAAACAGGAAATGTCCCGGGAGTGCCCATGCACAGAACGAAGCTTTGACACTTGGCTCTCTTAGGGAAATTACATAGCTTCTCCCTAAATCTTTCAGTGAACTCAGTGCCTCCCTCCCTTTAGGGTCTGTAAGTGTACCACACAAATAATTGATGGGTCTCCAACTACCTCCTTCTGGTCCAAAAGAGCCTTCCTACTATTGACATTCCAAACTGATGAGTAAAGCCTCACTTGCTGGGGGCTTTTCCATTTAATACTTATTGCTTAAAGAATAACAATAGAACTATCTTTTAAAAGCCATTCATCCTCTAAGACAGACTTTAGCCATCTCTCATCTTCCCCAGAGGACCAAAAATCGCTTCCATTTCAGCTAATGTTTTGATTTCCTACGGGTATGCGTTGTTTTCACTTTTGCTTTCAATATTTCTTTCCCATTACAACATCCTGCTCTACCAAGAACAGGGAAAAGGTGAAGGGCGCAGCCTGGCTCAGATCTACAAGTAAACTTCTGTCTAAGCCAGGAATGATGGCGCCTGCCTTTAACCCCCAGAATTTGAGAAGCCAAGGACTGCCGTGACTTCAAAGCCAGTCTGGACCACAGAAGGAGACCCTATTTCAAAAAACCAAGCGAGTAGGGCGCGGCGCGGAGACGCACTCTGATAATGCCAGCACTTGGGAAGGAGAGGCAGAGAGATGAGAAATTCAGGCCAGCCTGGGGCACCTGAGACCCTGCCTCAGAAAACAAACACACGAAAACTACTCTGCTGCAAAGTCACGGGCCTCCGCTACCTCCCAGCCCAGGCGCAGGTGCGTTACCCACACCGGTATGTGCCGTGTCCCGGGAAC